TTCTGGTTCTCTCCTTTGATTTTATATTGGAGTGGCCAGATTACTTTTGTCTTCAGGAGTTCCCACAGAGGCTCAAGTCAGATGAGGATTAGATGCTCTTAGGCTTTCTCCTAAATTCTGGATCCCTCCAGGAAAGATTTTAGCTTCAGGAATTTGGCGGTTGGACTGGCCTCAGAGCTGGGGCCAGGGAAGATACTGGTCTAGGGCAGCTGGTGGCCATGCCACCCAGAGATGCAAAGGAAGATGGGGGCGGGAAGCATCTCAAGGGCTCTTGGGGACTGCACTGAGGAGCTGGGTTGGTCTGGATGCAAAGGATCAGGAAGAGGAAAGGTCAGCCCCAGCTTCCAGCAAAGAGGCTGGCAGGTCATGCATTCCCAGGGAAGTAGATGGAGGTGAGGGCGGGGCCAGGCCCAGAGTGCTCCTGGGCCTGAGATGGAACTGAGTTGGTCTGGATGCAAAGGATCAAGAAGCAGTGGTGTTTCCCCAGGTGTCTGGGGAACCAAGAGAAGGAACTGGACAGGATCCAGCCTAGGAGGAGAGACGGGTGGGCAAGATGGGAGGGTGAATGAGGCTCCGGGAGTCAAGGAGTAGAAGGCCCGATCGATTGCTGTACCCAGGAGAGGGTACTGTGGGTCCTGCAGGCCCAGGGAAGCAGAGGGAGGTGAGGGCGGGGCCAGGCCCAGAGTGCTCCTGGGAACCTGAGAAGGAACTGAGTTGGTCTGGATGCAAAGGATTAGGAAGCAGTGATGGTTCCCGTGGTGTCTGGGGCGCCAAGACAAGGAATGGGACAGGACCCAGGCTAGGAGGACAGACTGGCGGGGGAGATGGGACGGTGAATAAGGCTGGGGGCGTCAAGGCGTGAAGGGTGCAATCTACTTACCCTGGAGAGAGAGGCCTGGGGGTCGGAGAGAGCAGCCTATATTTGTTAATATGATACCATTGTTGCTTTAGGCGATTTTAATTTGTTTTCCTGAAGGGATTCATTTTCTCTGTATAGTTAAAGAACTTGATTGAAATGGTTCTAGTAAGTCGTTATAAGAGCTACCAATGTTAATGTGTGTGCCATTTTGTGTGGCAGTCTGCTGGGAGTGTGTCCGTATTGTAAGTATGGGTGTCATCATTAAGTAACATTTATTGCATTTGTAGCCTTTCTGGGGATTAAATGACCTTGTACAAATTGGTTCACCTCTCTAATAAATATAATCATTGTGTTAAAATTAATATAAGGATTAAAGGACATAAAATGCAAACAGCAGTCTCTGCTGTATATAGGTGTTTCATAAATGTTAGTTTTCTTGTCCTTAGTACTTTGATACAGCTTATTTAATTAATTTCATGTTTGCCTACATGGTCTTGCTGCTTTTCAAGACTTGGCTTGTCTAGAACTTGCAATTTTCCTGATTCCATTTCAGAACCGATTCCATTTAAAAATGTACATTAGAGGGTCTAGAGAGATGGCTTAGCAGTTTACAGCACTGGCTGCTCTTGCAGAGGACCTGGGTTTAATTCCTAGCACCCATATGACAGTTAACTGTCTATAACTGCAGTTCCAGGGGATCTAACGACTTTTTTTGACCTTCATGCGCATTGAATGACACAGGTGCCCCTACCTACATGCAGGCAATACAGTCATACACATAAAATAAAAATAATAAAATATTAAATATATACATATATATATACATTAGGGGTTGGAGCGGTGGCTCATTGGTTAAGAGCACTGACTGCTCTTGCAGAGGCCCCAGGTTTGGTTTTCAACACCCACATGGTCGCTGTCCTTAAGTCCAAATTCAGCAGATTTGACACCCTCTTCTGGCCTCTGTGGGCATTGCATGACATAGGTGCATGTACATGCAGCTAAAACATTCATACACATAAAAATAAATTAAAAATATACATTACAGGCTGTCAATACTATGCTTTGTACTTGATAATAGTTTAAAAGAACTTTATGTGGGGCTGGAGAGATGGCTCAGCGGTTAAGAGCACTGACTGTTCTTTTAGAAGACCCAGGTTTGAATCCCAGCACCCACATGGCAGCTAACTGTTCATAACTCCAGTTCCAGGGGATTGGATGGCTTCTTCTGTCCTCCTCAGGCATTGCACGGCACGGGTGCACTTAACGTACATGCAGGCATTACACTCATACACATACAATAAAAATAATAAGTGAAAATAAAAGAACTTTATTAAAGTGATATTCCTAACATTATTCTTGCTTTATCAAGTCTAATGTTTCAGTGTTTTCATTAATATTTCTGTTAATAGGAATATCAGATGTATTTAATGAAATACTTTATTAGTTCTTTTCAGTTGATATCCAATAATTTAAGACTTTTGCCTGTGCCATGCAAACTTTAAAAATACTATTCTTTTTTTATTTTTGGATTTTTTTTTAAAATAGGGTTTCAGTATGTATTCCTGGCTGTCCTGCAGGAGCTTGCCGTGTAGACCAGGATACCCTCAGACTCACAGAGATCTTCCTACTTTTGCCTTTTGAGTGCTGGGAAGGCATGCGCCACCATGCCCAGCCCTTTTCTGTTAATTTTATTAAGAACATTTAAAATTACTTTTTTTTTCCATTAAACCTAAATTCAGTTACAGGGGAGAAAGTTTAATTTTTGGTTGCTACTGGACTATTAAGGACTCTATCCGAGTTAAGTAAGCATCTGATATACTGCTAAAATGTTTAATCTATTTTAATCTTTTTGGAGAATTTTTTCACACTTGTTTGTTTTGATTTTTGGTCTTTTTGAGATAGGGTCTCCCTGTAGTCCCAGCTGGCCTGTAACTCATTGTGTAGACCAGGCTGGCCTTGAACTCACAGAAATCTGCATGCCTCTGCCTCCCAAGTGCACTACCACTACCAGCTTTCAAGAGTATTTTTAAGGAATTCCAGCTGTAGTCTTACCCTACTGTGTCTTGAGTTTCTTCTCTTCACTAGGTTTCCTGAGCATCTCTACTTGTCCTTTCTTGTGTTAGTGCTGTCAGACTGACCTTATTGTTGTGCTAGTAATTGTGGCCACGGAAGCATGGCCTTACTGTACTTTCTGAAGTGTGAAACACTTTTCAGAAAAAGAATTGATGTTTATGGTAATAAAATTAAGTTAAAAATTCTGAATCTTCACAAAAGTTTGTGTAGTGAGTATTTAATTTATGAAGAATAGTGTGACTTATGAAGAATAGACAGTTGAGGCAGAAAGTAATATTATTTAAAAATATACATTACAGAAATATATAAAAACCATGTATGTAGGGACAGGAGTGATGGCTCAGCAGTTAAGAACACTGACTGTTCTTGCAGAAGACCTTTGACTCCCAGCACCCACATGGCAGCTAACAACTCTCTGTAACTCCAGTTCCAGGGTATCTGACAGCCTCTTCTGTCCTCCGTGGGCATCGCATGACGTGGGTGCACTTACCTACATGCAGGCATAACTCATACACATAAAATAAATAAATAAATAA